GCGCCTCAAGGGCGTCGTCATCGAAGGTGACTACGACCCCGCGAACAGCCTCGTGGACAAGGCCGCGCTCATGCTGCAGGACGGCATCGTCCGTTACATCCCGCCGTCGCAGTGCGTCAGCCGGGATGCAGAGATCGCCTCAGTGAGGCGTGACAAGGACTTCCTCTCCCTAGAGTCTGGGGAGATCACGGTAAAGAAAAAGGAGCACAGCGTGCACGTGGAGATCGGCAATGAGCTAAAGCTCACGCAGGCGCTGACGCGCCGAGGTCTCGCGCTCGACAGAGTCGGCGTGTTGGATTTCACAATTCACGAGAGACTCGTGAGACAGTTTTTCTCCGTCCTGAACCGGCCAGCGCCGCCGGGGATGGAACGCGGCAACAGCTGGCACGTAGTACGGGCCGACAAAGAACTGTGGACGCTGCTCGCGCGAGAGTGTCGCAAAGGGTGCAAGCCGGACAAGGATGGTAAGAGGCCACTAGATTCTCTAGTAGAGAACATGTGGTCCGATCCGATTGTTACGCTTCACCTGCTCCCCTCGCCAGTGGCGGACAGGGGTCGCAAGGGCAAAGGCCGCAGCTCGGCGCGCAGCGAAGAAGACCGCAGTCGTAGCACGACCGGCAAAGGTAAGAAAGGCGGCAAGAAAGGCCGCGGTAAGGGCAAGGGCAAGCGCCATGAGAGCGCAGACCGCGCCAGGCCGCCGAGCATGCCCAAAGAGCTTCGCCACTTGAACAGTGTTTCCAAGTCCGGCAAGCGCCTCTGCTACGGCTTCAACCTGCAGTGCGGGTGCGACCTCGAGACCTCCGGCTCCCCTAAGCAGTGCGACAGGGGGTTGCACCAGTGCATGAGCTGCGGCAGCACCGACCACGGAGCCGCAGATTGCCCAAAGAACGCAGGGGCCGCCTGACTAGGCACCCTTGCCCCGAGCGCGGCAGAGCCGCAACAGCCCTCAGAGACGGGGCCTGCGGCTCTTATCCCAGCAGCGCTGGGCTCTTCCGCCTTTGCTCCTCGCTCAGGGCAGAGCCTTGACCCTTCGGCCTCCGCACCGCCACTGCACCCGCCTGCAACAAGTAAGCCAGGACGTGCCACCGCAGCGCCGTCTCACGATGCCGCGCCCGCGGTTAACGCCGAGCCCCCAGTGCTCCTCTTGTCCGAACAGCACAGCGTGCTGACAGACAACGCTCGGAGCGTTACTCTTCCCGAGCCGGCTTCGCAAGCGACCCCTCGGCCTCCGCTTTTTGTGGAAGTTTTCTGCGGCCTCGGTCGCCTTAGTAAGGCAGCCATCGAGAAAGGTTTCTCGAATATCGCCGTGGATCACAGGACCAAGGCCAGAGGCCTCAAGGTCCTTCAGCTCGACCTCTGCACCCAGTTGGGTCGCAACTTGCTGAGAGCAGTGCTCTCACACCAAGATTTGAGATGGGTCCACTGGGCCCCCCCGTGCGGCACCTTTAGCAGAGCTAGAGAAATTCCCAGGCCGGGAGCTCCGGGCCCCTTGCGCAGCGAAGCGCGCCCAGCGGGCCTTAAAGGCCTCAAAGGAGCCGACGCCGCGCGAGTTCGCAGCGCGAACAGCCTAGTCGCTTTTATGGCACAGTGTTGCCACTCCCTGTCCCAGCGCGGCGTTTGCTGGTCCATAGAAAATCCGGCTCGTAGCCTCCTGTGGAGGATGCCCTGCCTCAGAGAGGTCTTGCAGTCAGCTCACAGAGTAGAGTTTGACTCGTGCATGTTCGGCAGCATGCGCCGCAAACGTACCGCAATCCTCTCCAACTTGGATTGGTTCGCAGGTCTGAGCAGAGACTGCGACGGAGGCCACCAACACCTGCCGTGGGGCAGAGCCTCAGTTGATGGTTCCACAGTGTGGTCCACATCCCTGGAAAGCGCCTACACTACTCAGTTGAGTTCCGTCTGGGCTTCCCTCGCGGCCGACCAATGCGCAGCATCGCTCCGGGCAGCGCCTCTCAGTCGCAAGCGACTGCGTCGTCTGCGCTACGAGCCAGACTTCAGTGACAAAGTCACTCTCCAAGGCCCCGCAGGGCGGTGCTTTCGAGGCTGGAAGACTCCGCAGAAGATTCCACAGTCGTGGACTTGCTTCCCAAAGGGCTCAAGGCTCATCCAGTGGATTGAGGCCTCCCAGAAAGCCATCATCGCCATCCCGCTGCAGCCTCTACACTGGGTGCGCAGAGCGCACCTGATCGATCACCCGGCCAGGGACATCGAGGCAGTGCCTCTATCCCTGAAGCGAGCCATTGCCGCCGAAGTCCACGAGGACACTGTCCTGCTGGCCAAGCGCCGCACGGTGGCATCGATGCATATCTCTCGAACTTGCACAGAGTGCCAAGTCCGCGAGACCGAGGTACGTTCGTCGATTGACGCTCAGGTGAACAGCGTCACCAAGCCCAAGCAGACAGTAGCTTTAGCAAAGCTTCTGACCGAAATCGACTTTCCAGACAAGACTTTGGCCCAGCAGGTGCGAGAAGGCTTTCCCCTGCTTGGCTGGATACAACCCAGTGGGCTGTGGCCAGTGCAGATTCTGCCACCTTCTCTAGACGAGAAGTCACTACTGGAAAACGCCCAAAGCATCAGTATGCGAGGTGTTCGCAGCGCTCTGCGCCCCTCGCAAGACGGGATCTCGGACAGGGTCTGGGAAAGCACTATGGAGGAAGGCCAGCAGGGCTGGCTCTCTTTGGAAGACTTCTCGCCAGAGCAGCTGCACGAGACGATAATATCGTCCCGCTTCGGCGTCGTTCAAAAGGGCAAAGTGCGCCCCATTGATAACTTCAAAAGCAGCTTCATTAACAGCTGCTGCGGGACCACAGAGAAGGTCCAAGTCGATAGCATCGACGAGCTTCTTGCAGTTTGCCTGGAGTGGCTTCGCCAAGGTGTCCCCGCAGAGCGGGCCCACCGCATTGTAGGCAGGACCTGGGACCTTAAGAGTGCCTACAAGCAGCTTGCAGTGCAGGCCGCACACAAGAAATTCGCGTGCATCGTCATGCTGGACCCACAGAGTGGGAAGGTCAAAATCGCCCACCTGCATAGCATGCCTTTCGGCGCCGTTGCCGCCGTGCACGCTTTCCTCCGCTGCAGCGAGGCGCTCAAAGCCATCGGCCGCGAAAAGCTTGCTTTAGTCATGACAAGCTTCTTTGACGACTTCACCGTCCTTACGCGCAGCGCGCATTCAAAGCTCGTCACGTTGGCAGTGTCCAACCTTTTTCACAAGCTAGGTTGGCAAGTGGCCACAGAGCCCAAAAAGAACGCAGACTTCAGCGAAGTCTTTGACGTGCTAGGCGTGCGAGTGGACTTGTCCAAGCAGCACCTCGGAGAAATCTCAGTGAGCAACAAGCCAACCCGCGCAGCAGAGCTGGGATTGGTCCTCAGCGAGGCCCTCGCCCGCGGAAGCATGTCCCCTTTGGAAGCGCAGAGCCTGCGCGGCAGGCTCATTTTCGCTGAGCAGCAAGCCTGGGGTCGTAACACTCGCATGGCAGTGATCTGCGTAGGCGACGTTCTTGGGGATGGATTAGAGCAAGTCCCCCTAACAGAGCAGCAATGCCAAGCCATGGCGTTCCTGCTGCAGAGAGTCGTGCACGGACCGCCTAGGACAGTGTCCATCCATGCACGCCGCAAAGTGCACCTTTACATCGACGGGGCCTGCGAGTGGGAGACCCCGAGACTCGTGCCCAAGTGTGGCCTCGGAGCAGTGCTCATCACCTGGGGGCTGCAGATCAGCAGCCAAGTCACAGCCCAGTGGGCTGCCAGAGCTCAGAAGCAGCAGCTCGTCTACGAGTGCGAGCTGCTGCCCTACTTACTCAGCCTGCAGATGTGGGCTAAGCACATAGCAGGCAGCGACCTGTTCGTCTGGATAGACAACGACGCAGCGCGTACCTCACTGCACAAGGCCTTCACACGCAAGGTGGAAGGAGCTGCGATAGTTTCGCAGGCGGTGGACTTCGAAGAATCCCTGCAGTGCAGGGCCGCTTTCTTTCGAGTACCCACAGACAGCAATATAGCTGATGGCCCCAGCAGAGACTGGTGGGAAGAGACACAACGGCTTGGCGCAGAGCGCCAATTTTTGCCTCCCAACGCAGTGTCGTTGGCTTTGTCACTCGGCGCGGACTAGATGGGGGGTGAGTAAGGCTTCGAGTGCCTTCAATGGGGGTGAACCAGTCGTTCGCCTTACCACCGACCAGCGGTCGAGTTTTGGTTTGAAATGCCAGTGGCATCGTTTCGACATAGCCCGAAGATCGGGCCCGAACCGACCCCCCATGTCCGCTAGGAGAAAAAAGAGAGTGCTTTGCACAGGTTCCTTTCTGCAGCGCAGTTAGGGTTTCCCAAACGCGCGCTAACGGAAGTTTCGTTGGAAAATAAGCATCCATCATGCGTGCGTGAATGGGGTTTATTTTCCGCCGAAAGTGTAGACAAAGTTTGTCGAAAAAGGAAAACAGTGTTTTCACTTGTGTGTGAGTGACACTAGACAAACTTTGCCGTGCAGCTTTCGGCTTGGAGTTGGATCTGTGATCCAAAAAGTTTTTGTCCCACCCACCACACCCTGTATAGTATGCGGGGTCCGGGACACCGCTTTGGCAGCAGAGCTGCCAGGAGCAGCGCTCCTATGCTCTCTCCTGCGGAGAGTTTTGAGCACAGAGTGCGCTTTTGTATATAGGCCGTAGGCCGTGCAAATGCAGAGTAGCACCTAGTAGCTGCAGTGACCCAGTAGGTCCTAGAATGTTTCACTTTATCTCCCCGTGGTACGGGTTGTCCCCTAGTAGGGGGGGTGAACCAGTCGTTCGCCTTACCACCGACCAGCGGTCGAGTTTTGTTTTGAAATGCCAGTGGCATCGTTTCGACATAGCCCGAAGATCGGGCCCGAACCGACCCCCCATGTCCGCTAGGAGAAAAAAGAGAGTGCTTTGCACAGGGTCCTTTCTGCAGCGCAGTTAGGGTTTCCCAAACGCGCGCTAACGGAAGTTTCGTTGGAAAATAAGGCGGCTGTCTTCCTTGAGTTGTTGAATATGCCACGTGACCGCTTGTTCAAATTGGTTGGGAAAACAATAGATCTCGTCTCCGCTTACAAGTTCTACCCCGTACATCCTCTTGACAGACAACACTTGAGGATTGGTGTGTTCGACACGGACAGCAAGAGGGCGCGGATCTATGGGACTAATGTCCTACCTTTCGGTGCCACCGGAAGTGTGGCTGGCTTCCTTAGGGTGTCAGCCGCCGTCTGGCACACTGGCGTCCGAGACATGGGCTTGGGCTGGTGCGCATACTTCGATGATTTTCCATTGCTATCTTGTGATGGAATGGAGGAACAGATCGAAGAACTCGCCGACGAAGTGTTCGAGGCTCTTGGGATTCAGTATGCCAAAGAGGGCAAGAAAGCAACAAAGTTTGATGCGGTTTTTAATGCGCTTGGCTTGGCCTTCGACCTGTCGGGATTCGAGAGCGGGGTCATCTCCATCACACATACCAGCGATCGAAAGAAGGAGTTGAACGACGCTCTCGCGAACATCTTGCAGACGGGAAGACTTAGCCCCAAGGAGGCTGAAGTCCTCCGCGGGCGCATGCATTGGTATTCTTCTTACTTGTTCGGACGGGCACCGTGCGAAGCTATGCACCAACTTTCCTTGAGAGCCAGGGGAATCGATGGTTCATCGGAACTGAGCGCTGATCTGGAATGGGCGGTGAGGACACTGCTCCAACACGTCAGTACCTCGAGACCCTTGGAGTTGAGGCAGACTTCCGGGAGAGAGCTCTTCATTTTTACTGATGGATCTTATGAACCTGGCGCTGGGGTTGTGGCCGGCATCGGAGGAATCATTTACGATGCCTCTGGCGTCCCGTTGGCTTTCTTCAGCTCGGAGATCCCCAAGTCTGATTTGGAAGTGCTGGAGGCTGAATCCGAGCATCCAATCTATGAAGTCGAACTCTACGCGGTCCTAGTGGCGTTCATGCTATGGGCGGAAGTGTTGAGAGATACCTTCAGCACCTTCTACTTAGACAACGAAGCTGCGCAATCCGCTTTGATTGCTGGCCGCTCTGGGACTCGAAACGGACGACGGCTCTTACAGCAGGTCTTATCGCTGGAACATGACAATATGGCTAGGCCGTGGTTTGGGCGTGTGCCTACCCACTCGAACCCGGCAGACCCGCCTAGCCGACAGATCGTGGACCACCTGATCAGACAAGGCGCAAGGCAGGACGATGTCGACTTGGGCTGTCTGCTGCTTGAAAGGCCTCCGGATACGGGCTGAAGTGCACTTCGATGGGGGAAGTTCGGGTGCACTTGAAACGTGTGCTTTAGGAGTCGTGGCCCTTGGCCGAGCCTTGGAGGCTTGACCTTGGGACAGACAGCCGATTTGACTTTCGACTTTCCCCATTGCACTTCGAGCTTATCCGATAAAATGAAGGAGGGGTCCGAGTGAATGCATCGCAGTCTCACATGTCTGATTGAACATTTCATACGAAATATATTTGATTGATATATTCCCAAATAACGACGAATTTGTTCATGCGTTTGTGGACTTGGAAATAAGTGACCACATCACTTGTGATTTTCACTTTATTTCCAATTTCACAACGATTGTTGTCTCGTTGAGAAACGATCGTGCATGAACACTTCGGGCGGTTTTTGGGAAACTCTTTTGAACCTGATTTTTAACGATTGAGTTTTTCATGAACTTTATTCTTTGATGATCAGTTGCTAACATGTCTCCCGCGCACGCTCCTTCAAGCACATGAGTGCAAATTTTTGTCCCGCCCGCCCACCCTGGGGGAAGTTTGGGTGCACTTGAAACGTGTGCTTTAGGAGTCGTGGCCCTTGGCCGAGCCTTGGAGGCTTGACCTTGGGACAGACATCAGATTTGACTTTCGACTTTCCCCATTGCACTTCGAGCTTATCCGATAAAATGAAGGAGGGGTCCGAGTGAATGCATCGCAGTCTCACATGTCTGATTGAACATTTCATACGAAATATATTTGATTGATATTCCCAAATAACGACGAATTTGTTCATGCGTTTGTGGACTTGGAAATAAAAGAAATTTCTTTGAAGAGCATGTGAAATGTCCACGTCGTGTTACATTGCTGCTCAAGAGTGGGAGATGGGTCTCGACTACCCTCCCGCCACACCCGTCGAGACTTCAGATCGCTTGGGGCCGATCTTGCGATTCCAGTTGTGCAACACTCCGTAGGCTGTGCTCTACGTTGGCCCAACATGCGAACGGCATGTTGGCAGTGCGCCTAGCCCGCGGCCTAAGGCCGGGCAACCCGGTGCGCCCCCTGAAAGAAAAGAAGGGTCCGAGTGATGCGATACGATATGAGTTGATTGACTTTTATACTTACGGAGTGAGTGCAACTTATATTCGCTTGAATTTGGGTTTTGAGTTTTTCTACAGCAAAAATGGCTTGAATTTGGTCGTGGACCCCAGCGGCAAATTGCTGAATCGGAGAAAGGTGTGCAGCCGCAAGGATGTGATCGCCAATCCGAGAGTGCCCCATTTGCACCTATATCTAGATTGCTTCCGAATTAAGAAACAGTCCTCAAATTGCAGAAGTGTACAAGGTCATTGCTGCAGCGATGAGAGGAAAGTTGCGGTCGCGAAAGCGACAGAGCGCATACGTGTATTCCGATGGCATCTTGCACTTCATGAATAATGAGAAGCTTTTGCCGAGGGGAGTGCTGATTACAGCGCCATCAGTTCAAGATTGGGCCATGAAGACGGGTCATGCTGTCCGCAAGCTTGTATCTTGCCTGGGATCCAAATTTTCGGTGATTGATCTCAATGAGTAGACATGCCAATGTTGATTCGGAGGGGCTGTTGGTTTGCGGCTGAAGTTGAGGTGACCAAATTCAAGCACCTTGCTCGCCGTGCCCGATCATCGCACCAAGCCCAGCTCCGAGAGCTCAAGAATGAGTTATCTGGGCTTCTTAAGGACGTTGAATCTTGGCATTTGGGTTGCAGTTTCCGATTGAGTTCCAGTGGATGAGAGGCTGAGCCGTGTTTGCAGCTTCACATGCAAGGATTCGGAGTCGGAGGATGAGGACGAGGGCAACGAGAGTGACGAAGACGACAGCGAGGCTCTGTCCAGCTTGGCTGACCATGATAAGGATTCTGCTGCTTCTAGACGGCATTTTCGGTTCAGGTTTGCATTTGATTGCCAGCTTCAAGATCAGCTGGGTTCATGCTAAGGTTGCAAGTTCCAGCTGCTCTGTTGCCACCCCGCCTTTGCACATCCCGAGTCTGAGTGGTGAGATGCAGAAACTTTGGCTGAATATGTATTGATTTGTCGACCGTGCTTGCATTCAAGCTACATTGTCTTCTATGTCCATTATCATGTGTCCGAGGCAGGTCTTGGCCAAGCTGCAGAAAGCCAGTCGACGTGAGCAGCCAGATCTAGAAGCAGCAGCCGAGCGACAGGCTTCCGAACCTGTTGCTCCGGAAACCAAGAAGAAGCCTAAGAAGGTCAAGGGTCAGATTGAGGAGAAGCTGTTTCCTGAGAAGGATTCTTGTCCGAACCATATGAGAGTCAGTTTGTGTCATGCAATATGCAATCTAGTGCTGGAATCTTGCTCACTATATGCAGGTTATGGACAGTCTTCGAGGTTTGATGAATGCAGAGCCCGCGAAGCCGTTCCTGCCGAGTGTCCAGCTTCCAAGTTGCATATTGACCGGTGTTGACTCCTGCATATGCTGTGTTTATGTGTGCACCATGGGATTGGGGGGGCAAACACTGTTGACACCATTGAGGTGGGCCAAGGATGATGTGACTGGCCCGGAAGGTGATGAAGCAGAGCAGAGCAGCAAGAAGAAACCCCCCAAAAAATCAAAAAAGAAGCAGCAGAAGAACAAGGAGATCAAGAAACCGAACAAAGAGATTGAGAAGGAAAACGGGGGCTCGAACAATGGCAACGCAGAGGAGCCGCACGCGATCACCCGCATGAAGAAGAACATGGCGCCCGACTGCTTGTATGTCCCTGGATCTTACAAGGAAGCCAGACTCAGGTACATCAATAGAAAGCGAGAGAAGGGATGGTCCTGGAAGGAAGCGTGCGCGAAGTGGAATGGCAGTGCCATTCGAGCATCGTGGCTCGAGGGCTTATCTACCAATGAACTGAAGAGACGCCGATTCATCTAGATTTCAGGCTTCAGTCATGCATGTAAAATATGCAATTCAAATTCAGAACTGGTCGCCATAATTCGAGGACCGAGACCAGCTGCAAGCAATTGGTGCACGCCGTGAAATCAGAGAGGAAGCGAGAGAAAGAGCGGGAAAGAGAGAGACAGAGAGTTCGTACGTGCATGTGTGTATGTGCATGTGGGACATCTGCGGCTGTGCTGTCATGATGATACTTTTGTGCAGAGCAGCTCGTCTTGCCCAGATTTTGGCACCAGGCCGAGGCCGGCTTTGACTCCTTAAGGTATGTCGCTTTTGTACGCAGGGCTATGATGGTGAAGCTGTGACACCCCTAGATTCAGGTAGATTCCTTAAGTCTTCTAACATGCAGGGCTACTTGGTTAGTTTAGATCGGAGCAGGATCGAGGGCTTGTGGCCATGGTAGTGGCAGAACTCTTGCGATGGGGAGCTCCGCTACAGCTAATTTTGTGCCTGGTTCTCCTGGCCTTTCATGAAGAGGCCCTACAGTCTGAGGACCGTGTGTTGCAACGCTCATGTCCCAGAGTATGGCGATGTTCATATAGTATAGAACTACGACACGCAAGCCCACGCAGGACCTCGACTTCGTGCACCTTTTTTCAGGCTGCGATTCTGTCGGCGCCAGCTTCCGCAATGCACCTGGGATTGTCCAATACAGTCTGAAGCCCTGCAATTGCCAAACCTGAACAGCCCTGAAAGCCCCAAACCGTGACATGCCTGTCCACATACATATATATATATACTAGGCCAATCCCTACAAAGATCCTTTATTCTACTCGATCAGGATTTGGGTCTGGTTGGATCCTCCTGGGAGCTTTCTGTGGATCCCCTGGGCCACGACCTGATGACGACAGCCGGCTTCCTGTACCCAGACTGCAAACCATGCACGAGTTCTATTCAATCGGTGATGTGTTGTGTTGAGGGTCTCTGGTAGCTCTTGCATGAAGACTGCAAGGATGGCTTTGAATGAAGCCCGCCGCCTCAAGATGGATGCTGGTATCGCTGTTGTGGGCCTCCCGTGTGCCTCTTTTACCGTGATGTTGCTAGGGTGCACTGATTTAGGTCCTTTCGAGCTGTGTGCCTGTGTGTGCTGGCTGCTGTCCTTCACAAAGCTGTGTTGTGACTTAAGGTCAAGGAGCACCTCGGGGAGAAACCCGATCGAGCCGAAGGGCAACCAGGGATATGGTTTCGTTCATGCAGGGAATGTATTATTGTCTCGGGTGGTCATGCTTCTCTTGGTCGTTTGTTCACGGAATGGTCGCTGGATACTGGAGCAGCCATCACAATCCTGTATTCAAGACCACCCGATCATACAATGGTTGCTGGAACGAGCCCCTGCTACTAGGCTTGAAATTATATAGCTAGCTATATAGAGAATACTGAGTTAAAACAAATGTATGATCCGAAATGATAGTGCAAGGTCTTCAAGGGCTTCTTCTACATGGTCCGATTCGGTGCCCCTTCGCTGAAAAGGCACATGGTGCTCTCCAACTGGGAAGAATTCCTCGCAACCTTGGCGGCCACGGCAGGGTACATGAGTGTGGAAGAGAGAAAAAACCTGGTCAAGGTGAAGCTTGCAGTTCACGCCCAGAACAGAAGTGGTAGAGTGAAGAAGAAGTTCACTGGCCTGCCCAAGCAGCTGAAACAATCCCAGTTCCTAGGCTGCTTATACGACTCCAGAAGTAAAAGCCAAAGCTTTGTATCAGACTAAATGATAATTTGTTCCGGCATATGAACCCATGCGATCTATCTCAGGAACTACCCGGAGAAGTTTGCCAGAGCGATTTCTTCCCAGTTCAGAATGAACCGCTCGGCTTCGAAGCTGCAAGTTGTGATTCTCGGTCTTTGCAAAATGTAATCTCCCTCCGGTTCTTTCGTTCTGAGCCAAGGATCCTGTGCCTGGCCCTCGTTGTATCGATCCGGTGGACAAGTCTCGGTCGGACTACGAGCTGTTTCTAGAACGGCTGTCAGCTGGCGCGTGGGGTTGTCCTATGAGCTTTGATGCCTCCAGGCTCATGCAAGGATTTGCAAGTGTTTGCTTAACGGCTGTTTGCGAAGATTCTATAGGCTAGCTACGTCGGTCCCAGGCTGGACTTTCCGAATGCTGCCGATACCTCCTCCGGTCCAAGGACGTCGAATTGAAGGGTCGGTGGGAGCCTGGGCCTGCACTATTGCCATGGGTTCCTATATGCTTGCATGATCTAGCCCGAACGCCGATATTATGCATGAAAGCTTTTTGGGATCCAGGGTTTTGGTTAGCTCTGCCCTGTGCCTCTGTCCTTGCTGCCATGGTGCCGGTGTCCAAGTATCTAGTCCGCAAGCCAAAAGCGATCTCGAAGCCCATCGGGTCCGAGTCCTTGGATGGTGGCAATGAGCAGGGCAGTGGCAACCTTCAGGACAGTGGCAACCCACAGGAGAGTGGCAACCCACAGGAGAGTGGCAATCCAGCTCCACGTGAGCTGCAGGGGTCCAAGGAATCGGCGGATGTCCAGATGAAGCCGCCGGGCTGTGACAAGGACAGCCGGAATGCAGCTACTTATGAGCCGAGTTTCCGCCAGCGATCTCGCTCGCCTCGAACGAGGCGTGCAGATTCCCAAGAAACGTTGGTCCTGGGCTCTTTGTGCTACGTCAGTTCTTCCGGATCCGAGTAGATTGCAGCAGCGCTCGAGGCAAAAGACGTGTGCACGGGGATATTTCAAGTGCTCTGAGCTGGGGACTGTCGGGGTTTCGGGGGTCGAAGTTCTGAGTTCCCGTGTACATGTGCGGCTGCATGCATCCAATGCCAACACCTGCAAAGCCCAAATCCTGAAAATCTCGACCAAGCTCCAGCCCAGGAAGCTCTGCGACCTCAGCTCATGTGCCTTGGCTGCCATGAGAACGAGACTGACAGAGAGAGAGCGAGAGAGAAAGCGACCAAGCGCAAGATTAAGGGAGGGAGGCAGATGCAAACGATGTCTTTAAAGTCGGCCCGTACAGGCCTGGAGCTAGAGCCTCTTTCTGGGCTGATCCGGACTCTCTCTCTCTCTCTGTGTCTCTCGCTCTCTCCCTCTCTCTGTCTCTCTCTCTCTCTCTCTCTCTCTCTCTCTCTCTCTGTCTCTCTCTCTCTCTCTCTCTCTCGCTCTCGTCTGTGTCTCCTTTCCCTGTGCACGTGGCAAAGACACAGAACAAACCTGCCAGAAACAATCCCGACCCGCACCAAGACTGCACAAGCACAGAAAAGCACAAAGAAGCGCAAACAAGCACACAAACGCCTATGGTTTGAAGCAAAGACACACAGAAAAGCACAAACAAGCACAAAGAAGCACAAACAAGCACAAAAATACACAAACAAGCACAAAGAAGCACAAAGAAGCACAAACAAGCACAAAAATACACAAACAAGCACAAACAAGCACAAACAAGCACAAAGAAGCACAAAGAAGCACACATTATAGGGATACCATAGGAAATCATCCACCCGATCGATCCGGATCTCAGGCTTCTTTGCAATGATGACTCCCGAACACAGCCTTCGGCAGCTGCCGCCAGCTTGCATATACGTGTAGGCATATGTACATGTGTGTGTGTGCTAGTGCAGATCAGCCCCTGGTCCAGCACACAAGCGAGGAGATGGCGGCTGGCATTGGTGCAATTGCTGCCGGTGTCCTTAATTAGTTGGGAGGCTGCAAGCTTGTGTGCTGCTTCACACGAGCCCTCTTTGAAGCTTGATTTGCCTCTTTAACGATCAATTCAAGCTGTTTCGAATGGTTGCAAGCATTTCATGAACGCTGTACCCTGAGCAAAAAATCCGCGTGGAAAATGTGCCAATGACCGGTAAAACCAGGCCACTTGTCCGCTAAATCGCGTGTAATTTGTGCTTAATTGAAATCCACAGAATCGAGCACAACTGCTAAAGCCATCTCAGCTTTGAAAAGGGCTGTGCAGGGCTGGGATCCCCTTGCCTAGCGGCTGCAGACCATGGGTGTATATAAGAGTACGAAAGAGGCTTTGGATCGTGGTGTGAAGCTGAAGAAAGTGGTGAAAGAGCAGAAAACTGCTTCGAAAAGCAGCAAATGGAGAGCGCCTGACCTTCCGCTTTCCACTCCTCTTGGTGTTGGAGGCCTCACCCTGGGTTCGCTCATGAAGCAGGAGAAGCTTGAGTATCCCGACGCCGTCGCGGTATATTTAGCATTTCAAGACACTCAGAAGTCGTCTTCCCCATCCACGAAGAAGCCCTCCAAGAAGACCCCGACAGAGACCGAGGACACCCACACGGCATGCAAATCGGCCCCTTCCGGAACAGCCAAGAAGAAATCCTCAAAGCAGGCCCCCACGGAGACCAAGGACACCCAGTCGGCATGCAATTCGGTCCCTTCCAGAACAGCCAACAAGAAATCCCCAAAGCAGGCCCTGGAGAAGACCGAGACCGAGGCAACCCCGAAGAGATCCCGCAATCAAGTGACCCCCAAGTCCAGGCCAAGCAAAGCAGCTTTGAGGCGAGGTGTCGCATCATCCAACCTCGGATTGGAGGACCCGGCCGAGGATACTGTGGTGCAGCCGGCCAAGCGTATCAAAGGCAAAAGGTCTCCCGAGGCAGCCCCGAACCCCGAAGACTGCACCCCTCCGGATGAAGACGATGATGCAATTTGTATGCCATGGGATGAGCTTGAACAGGAGTACAACCTGTGGAGGGAGGGGCTTCCTCAGCTCAGTGAGCTGGATAAAGACTTGAAGGCCCACAGGGAGCTCTCGACCCAGCAGTCGCAGCCTGTTGCTGCACCCGCTATGCTGGCACTGCCTGCTCCTGCTGCAGACCAGACTGGCTGTAATGAGAGTCAGGTGTGCTTTGATTGCAACATGAGCATGCATTGATGTGTGTTGCATGACTTGCTATCGGCATATTCAACATACCCGGGGCTCAGGTCTGGCAGTACCTTTGTGGATGGTCAAGACAGGTTGCGGACAGCGCAGCCGCTCAGCCACAAGGATCGCCAGGATTCGCAGACGAATCTGAGTGATCTGGGGCCTTCCGCGAGCCAGGTTGCTGCTAGCTTGGACATGTTGTCACTTATGGAAAAAGTGAAGCAGTTGGAGCTTGAAAAGGCAGAGCTCCAGTCCCAGCTGAGCAGCGACTCCACAACCAAGCCCGAAGCCCCTTCTGATGCTGAACCCGCCGATGCCAAAGCTTCCGAACCCGCCGATTCAAAGCCTCTGGCTACTCCTGTGAGGAACATGAAGGAACATGTGCTTCACGATTCGCCACCTCCGGCGGTGAGTCCAGCTAGTGTACTTCCGGCCTCCATGCTGGCAAAGATCAGGACCCAGTCGGAGCCAGTTCCGAAGCCGGCCCTGTCGCCTGCCGCAGCCCAGCCTGAACACGATCATGGGAAAATCAATTCTGCAAGCCACCGAAAGGAGTATGCGAAATTGGCCGCTTTGCTGATCCCTGTCGTTCCGTTGCATATCATCACAATCTATTTGGTGGGGAATCGTTTGCTCTGCTAAGAACCGACTTCATGAAGCTGGTGAGTTGGCTGGGTACCCCAACATGCTGGCTTTGCAGGAAGGCACGCTTGATGTGGCTCGGGTGCATGAGTGCACGTATGCATGTTAGCACTCGCTGTGCTGGGAATCTAAACTTGGCTTTGCTCTGTTGTGCTGGTTTCCTACCTTCGCTACAATTCAAGTTTGGCTTCTGTCTGGGAGCCATGCAACATCTTAATTAACTAGCTTCCACTTCATATGGCTACTTAACCTAACTTTCCTATATGTCTAGGTACAAGTCAACTTTTGAACTTATGTTTCGGGGAATCTAAATGCGATATTTCCCAAGCTACTTTCCCAAGTCCACAATCCACCTCGAGTCTCCGTGTGAGGGGAAATACAGAGGGATAAAATTATGGAGAGCGAGAAAGAGGGAGAGAGAGAGAGAGAAACGCAGAGAGAGAGAGAGAGAGGGAGAGAGACATAGAGAGTGAGAGAGATAGCAGACAGAGAAAGAGAGAGAGAGAGAGAGAGAGAGAGAGAGAGAGAGAGAGAGAGAGAGAGAGAGAGAGAGAGAGAGAGAGAGAGAGAGAGAGAGAGAGAGAGAGAGAGAGAGAGAGAGAGAGAAGAGAGAGAAAGAGAGGAGTGAGAGGGATCGAGGGTGCTGGGAAGAGTCCGCATGTGTCGAATCATGTGTGATGCTCGAACCAAGATGCTTCAGATTGTCAATGGCTGTGCTGAGGAGAAACGCAGGCTTCTTCGTGAGTGGGTGACCTCGGGCCAGAATCTGCAGGCCTGCGAATCCTCCATCGAGGTGTCCCACGAAGCGGGCATTCGCGGAGAGAAGGTTTGGATGCAGATCCCTGTGAAAAACATGTCGATGAAACCCCACTACTTCAGTGAGTACTTCAACAGCAGATCAGAGCTTTGTAGATTCACGCTGCTGTACTTGTCGGCATCTTGATGCTGCAGCCCAGGCAGAAGATACAACATATCATTGCGACGCAAGTGGGGGAACGTGATGAACAAGCCCCAGACTCTCTTCAGGACACCTTATATTGGTGTATCGTGGCTCGCACCCAGGTGGAAAGCTCTGATTACAGGAGCACAGCTTGCATTGGATGCTGAACATCACATAGTCTCGCATGCGACTATAGGTTTGCATATGCTGACATACTTCAGGATCAAGCAGAACATGAAAGTGAACTGTCGTCCGGGGGGAAACTTTTTCGATGACCCCATTCCCGGAGCAGATCCCGGCCTCCTCCACAAGAAGCCGGCTGTGACGCAGCAAGCACCGCTGAAAGCTGATGTCCTCAGGGAGTTTGATCAGCGCAAGGAGGAGTTGAGTGCACTTGCAAGGCAAAGTGCAGGTGGGGCACGATGAACATACCAAGTTCAAAAACATTCCCCTCAACCCTGAACATGCCAGCCCTACACTTCAAACCCAATGCATGAGGTGGTGGTCGCAACAGCAGATCTACGAGACCACCGCCGTCGCGAGCTTCCTCACGACGCCCGGGCTCGGTTGCAGGTTCTACGGCTACCACTGTGAGAGGTAACTCCTTGATCAATGAGCTGTTCAAGTGTCCGAAAGACAAGCATGCGAAGTGGTGTTGCTAGTTTGCGCTACAGAGGGTTCTCTTGCATCGTCGTTGTCATCGTCATCGTCGCTGTGTTCTGTTTGCATGATGCAAGGCAAGGAGATCAAGAAGAACGTGAACGGCATCACTGATCTGATCTTCGATATGGGTGATGCCTCGGATGATGACTCCCAGAGGTTGCTTAAAGACCTGAAGAGCCACAAGAAGAAGCTGGAACAGCTTGCGAGGAAGTCACCTATCTAAACTTACTCACTTCGGCGCCCATGAACACAATATCCCCGATCGAATATCCCGAGGTTCCACAGTATCGACCCAGAGTCCGATACCGCCGCCATGGATCAGCAGTGCGACGCTATCCACGACGAAGTTTCCTTGCATGATATGTTTTGGGCTGTTGGTTGGGACTTCGATCATTTGTCTGTGGGCTTTTAGCGGGCTTCGGGTCTTTGGTGGAGTTTGCTCTTTTTGATCTGCTCCGGAGCCGAGGTTCAAAGGCTGTCTTTGTGCAAAGGGCAAATCAAAGGCTTGCTCAAGGAGCTCAGCAAGAGGGCTGCCAGCTGATTTAATTTTCCGTGCGAGTGCTGGTGCATTTCATTCTGGGAATGTATAGCTCCAAGTGTAATCCTTCTATAGCCTCGGCTGTCTTAGCAAATTCCACTATAATGGTGCACCGGTGATATTAGTGAGGATGTGATCTCTATGTTGCCACATCGTTTCGTATGCGGGCCGCTTGCATAGCTAGATATACTGTATCACTGAAGTTTGAAGATTTTCGCGAGATGTTGTTTGGAAAGTGTGGGGCTTCAATATATGCTGCAATCCTTAGGTAGGGTCTCGGGTTCGTATAAATGTGCACGGCTTACGCATATGGGGGATCCTCTTGCTGGGAGAAGCTCTGCAACTTTGCAGAGAAATCTCCATAGCGCAGGGGGCTACCGGGGCTTCAGTTATGACGCCGTGCACCAAAAGGGTGCTGCATCATGCAATTTGCTGCTTGCATATGTAGTTCATGGCTGCTGTGCAAATCTCGAACCAAGCGAAGTGCTGGGGCCAAAATAGTCCACTCGAAAGCTTTACTGCATGCATCCCGGATATTCTCCAATCCCCAAGTCCGATCAAGTGCTATGTGGCTAGTGCAGGTGCCAAGAAGGCTGCCGGGCCGCCGAAGGTGGCAGACGTCCTCGATCAGAAGCTCCTTGATTTTGAATAGCCGCAATAGCCAAACCCGTAACCCCGAACTCTATATGCGCATACGCCTGTAGTTCTTCATTGCATGCTTGAAAAGTTCACTGAGACTGAAACTAGATGCCGAAAGCTCCCTGCCTGAGGCTTGTTCGAGCTACATGTGCTGGCGACACGTCTGTGACTGTGGCCTGTGATCTGGGTGCCTTGCACACATTGCTGGGGTTATGGTTGGAAAATAACCTACCGAATATAAGCACGGTATCCCTATATAGTTTAATCAAACCCCAAACCACAGCCCTAAGGAGATGCCTATGGGTCTCGGCTACTGGATGGTTACAGCAGCAGGCCTCTTCGGGAGGCCGAGTTTCATTCGCGATTATCTGGAAGCGGGTTGTCTTTTGACTGTGAGCCCACGTGGATTAATGCCCCAGCAATGAACAACGATCTGGAGCAAGAGACCATCGAGGCATTCCCCATTCTTCTTCCTTCCAACCTCGTTTCTCGATATTTGTATATAGGGTCTACTATAGTGGCATTTCTTTAAGTTCCGGGTGCGAGTGTTATCAATGCTGAACCCATTAAGCCAATATGTTGGACGCTGTAGCCCAAAGATCTGATCCAAGGCACGATGTCTTCTGCAAGAGGGATTCTTGAGCACAATGGTCCCAGGCAGAGCTGCCCTGGAGGAGTATTGGGAGAAAACACTGTTAGAGCTGAGTATTCCTTTATTGGATGGCCGCCCTGATTTGTACCATCGGGCCATTCCAGTACTGATTTGGGGCGATGAAGCGACGCTCAACCGTACTTCATGGATGTTGGCTTCGTGGAACTTTGGCTTGTCCTGCATGGTTTCTTTCCTTTTTAAGGGGTGCTAGCAGGGTTTCTCAAATCTGTGATTGCTCATAATACTAGGACACCAGACCTCTCCGAATGCCGCACAGACTCCAAAGCCTCCCGCTACATTATGTATTCCTTATTGGTGCAGAACTACCTCATTCGGGCCAAGACGAATGTAACACTTCAAACCCTGAATGCTGCTATTGTGGACGACTTCAACACGCTGAGCCAAGAAGGTCTTCAGATGGGTGACGAGGTGCTTGATATTAAAAACCCAGCCGTAAATCACAAACCCAGGATCCGTGCAAATATTGTAATCTATTCGATCCCAATCCTCCCTGATCATGCAGGTATACTACTTCATTCCTGTGGGATTTAGAGGCGACTTGAAGCAAATGGGCCAAGCCTTCAACCTCACCCGCAAGCCGGGATCCGAGAAGGTGCCGCAACCGCACATGGCACGATCTTTGATTCAGGGTTTGTTCTATTGGGGCTTGGGGCTTTTGTTTTCCGTCCTAAAACCTCTAGAAACTGTGTACGAACCCTATATTTAGGAAAGGCTGCAAAGTGCAGGAATTTTGTGTGGTTATGCTGATCCAAATCAGGTTTGCTTCTATTGCGAGGCCAGTATGGGGCGCAAATCTTTCAATACTGTATACACTGATGTTTCAGAAGCAGCTGGGTGGCGGAGCACAATGCATCATGAGGGCAACTGTGGGCTACCGTGGACCGACGAGCCTGCTTTCGCGAGACTTCATTACTTCCAGCTTTCTATGATTCGAATCGACTATATGCATACATGGCACCTAGGTGTGGCTCGTGACCTGGTGGGCTCGGCTCTGAAAATCATTGCTACCGGCAAAAACTGGTTTTGCGGAAAGAATATCAATGCCAGGTTGAAACAGATCCTTGCAGCTGTCAAAGCTTTTGGAAAGCAAAAGAGCCACTACATTTCGATCAAGAAGCTCACGAAGAATGGCCTTGGATGGGATGAATGTCCTGAATTTAAGGGCTCTGCAGCCGACACGGCTGTTTTTCTTGGTTGGTTGGCGACGACACTTCTGGAAAGGCCGCCGCCGCCACCGCAGGACGGCTTGCCGGGTGTTGTGTGGGTGGCCAATCATATCTGCGAGTTCCTCTTTGATTCAGGCTGCTTCTTATCTGATGAGGTATGGGATCAAGTTCGAGTGCTGGCTCGGATTTTTTCCATGGATATCTGCAGCTAGCAGTGAATGCGCACGAGGCGGGAAAGCTGCTGTTCAAGACGAGGCCGAAGTTTCACATACTTCAACATCTCTTGGAAGGCCATGGTGGCAAAAGAAATCCGGCGTACGATGCCACTTTTATGGATGAGGACCATGTTCGCTGGTGCTTGAAGATGTTCAGGAAGTGCTCGCATAAAACTGCCTCGTTGAATGTGCTGAAGAGGCACCTGGTGACTCTGAAGACGAACCTTCGGAAGTATGTGTGAAAATGATCGAGTGCCGAGGGTTTCGTTCAGGGAGTTCCGGGTTTTGCGCTGTAGTTCAGGGAGTTCCGGGTCTTGTGCTGACTTTCGGGTGTGGGTTTCCCAACTCCACGACCCACGAACCGAACCCTCCCACCCGAAGACCCTACAGCCCTAAAGTTTACCTAAAGTCCCTAAGCACCCTAATATTGGCTCAAACTTTTTTATAATGCTCCATGTCTTTGGCTCAAGCTTCCATGCTTCTTCCTGAATTTTCGATGCTCACGATGCTTTTCGGTCAAATCCTAAACCCGAATTGGCTCAATCATGCTGAAATGCTTGGCTCAAGCTTCTGCTTAGAAGCTTCCGTGCTCACAATGTTATCCGGTGAAGTTTGCACATGTGCAGCTGTAGCTGTACGACCTTAGTTTGGTGACTTCGTTTTGCACAAGATTGTGTGCATCTTTTTTGTTCGTGCATCTTGTGTTGTTCTTGGATGATACAGTTTCGTTGTTTTCAAATGACCCTTATATCCCCAAATGACCCTTAAAGGCCAAATGACCCTTATATAAGGCCTGCTTTTTGAGGTAGCAACACTTTTAAGGGTCAGGCCGTCCCCAAGGTATGTCCGCGGGCCTCACTCAGAGGTTCGCCGCTACAGAGGCCGCCGCTGCAGCAGCAAAGGCCCAGCTAGATCAACTTGCCGCAGCCAATGCGGCCGCTAGTGCTGCGAAGGCCAAGGCCCGCAAGGAGGCGGAGGCCATAGCCGCTAAGCTGGCGCTAGAGAAGAAGGCCGAGCACGACCAGAGAGTCGCAGCGGCCGCGCTAGAACAGAAGAAGAAAGAAGCCGGTGGCCGCTAGCAAAGCCTCCCTGCAGGCAGCAGAGGAGGCCGCTAGCAGAGACCCGACCGCTACGGGCAGCACCGACCCTGCACCTGCTGCCGCTACAGCAGCTGCTACGGCAGCACCTGCTGCCGCTACCGTGGACCTACGCCTGAGTGCCGCTAGGAGGTTCATGGAAGTCGGGCCGCGGGCCGCTAGCCCCTCGTTCCCTCGCACCGCTAGCCCTCACCGAGGCCGAGGCGAGAAGGGCAAGGGGAAGGCCCAGCCGGCCGCTACAATCAATGTGTTCGACTACACGTGGAACACGCTATTCGAGGATCCGGACCGCTACCTCGAGCTGCTCCGCCGCGAGCTCCAGCAGGACCGCGCTATTGAGCAGGCGGGGGGCATGCCCGCCAACGTCCGGGCCGCTAAGGGGACACCGGTGAGTGTCGCGCTAAAGGGCAGAGCCAGACCCCCGCCTGGAGCCCACGCTAACAGCCTTCCCAAAGGGAAGGGCTATTGGTACCTCGAGCTATCGTGGTCCAGTGTCGACCGCGATCTCTGGCCGCTAGGTTCGTGGGACCAACGCTATGAGAAGGGGAAGGGCAAGGGGCCCAACCCCCGCTATGGCAAAGGAGACGATGGCACGCTATTGAAGAGTGCTATCCACCACGGAGAGCATCTCTACACGCTAGGCCGGGAGGATGTGGCACTGATGTGCCGCTACGTCCACCCGCCCGTTAACACCCCCCAGGGGGAGAGAGCTAGCGAGCTGCTAGCCATGCTATTGCCAAGCTGCTATACCCAGTACCAGGCTGGACGCTGCCGCTACTCCCTGGGCCACTGGGACGCTAACGCCTGTATCTTCAGGTGCGCTACGACCTGCGAGGTCTGTTCGCTAAGAGCCTGCAACAGGCGTATGCCTAGAGGACGAAATGTCTCTTATAATTCCCCGAAAGGTAACTAGTGAAAATGTGCGGCGCTGAATGTTTCTTAATTTCCTCTAGTACGACCTAACATAATTATGAGGATTTGAAATGCACTTTATTTTCCCTATTGACAAGTCACGGATTGTGAAAGAACGAAATGTCTGTTATTTTCCATCATGATATGGTATGATATATATATATATACATATATATATATTTATATTTATATTTATATTTATATTTATATTGTGCAAGAACGAAATGTCTGTTATTTTCCATCATGATATGATATGATATGATATCATATGATAGGATAGGATATGATATGATATGATATGATATATATATATACATATATATATATATATATAATATATTGTGAAAGAACGAAATATCTGTTATTTTCCATCATGATATATATATATATATATATATAGGTAATAGTATACATATTTGGCATGACTTGACTTGCTTTGGCATGGCATGACTTGCTTGCTGCTGCTACTACTACTACTATGCTACTGCTACTACTACTACTACTACTACTAGTACTAGTACTAGTACTAGTACTAGTACTACTACTACTACTACTACTACTACTACTACTACTACTAGTAGTACTACTACTACTACTACTACTAGTACTACTATGTATTTTTGACATGGTTTGACTTGCTTGGCATGGCGTGAAGTGATTGGCATGGCTTGAATTGAGTGGCATGGCTTGAAATTTGTTAGCAAGTTTGTTCGTGTGTGACGGGCAATGGATAGATGCTTTGCACGGTTTCACGCTGGGCGCGAAGCTGTGCTGGGCAGAGCCATGTCCCAGCTCGAGGCAGGCTCACTCCGTATATGGCGACGATCGCGATTTTAGGGTTATTAGGGCTTAGGGGTTTAGGGTTTACATGTAGGGTTTATAATTTCATATCAAGTTATATAGTAAGGGCTCATACAATATAGAGAGGATAATGGACAGTCCAATTAGGGTTTAGGAGTTTAGGGTTTATATGTAGGGTTTACAATTTCATATCAAGTTATATAGTAAGGGCTCGTACAATATAGAGAGGATATAATGGACAGTCCAATATATTCTGGCGCAATACTCAGATAAGTGGGCTACACAGCCGATTGTAAGGCAAAATGAAGAGCGTATGGTGCATTTCCGCGCATTACTCAGAATTACTCAGAAAGGGCGATTTGTATGAATTTACCGGGCGTTTGTAGGAATTTACCGTGCGTTTGTAGGAATTTACCGTGCGTTTGTATTGGGGCGGGTTCGGGGAATTTGCGGTGCGTATTGCGGGGAATGCGGGGGGGCTAAAAAGAGCCATCTACGGCATAGGGTCAGGCCCCCTGCACCACCAATTGATCACCACCAACTGATCAGCTTGATGATATCACTTGGGATCGAAAGCAAACAAGCCAAGCCATGCCATGCCATGCCTCGTCATGCTTTAAGTATGTACATACCTACATAGTAGCAATAGGTAAAAACCTGTATAGTACAGAAGACCTATATGATAGAGTGGATATAGTACATGAGTATATAATCAATTTGGGCTTTGTTGATGCCTTAATTAAGAACGGCCGCCCAGGTCGAAGCCGGGATGGTCTTGCTTCAGATCATGTTGTGAATGCCATCATGTTTGGATGTTGCCATGCTTGTTTGCTTTCGAACCCAGGTGGTATCATCAAGCTGATCAATCGGTGGTGCAGGGGGCCTGACCCTAGATGCCGTAGATGGCTCTTTTTAGCCCACCCCGCATTCCCCGCAATACGCACCCTAAATTCCCCGAACCCGCCCCCATACAAATGACCGGTAAATTCATACAAATGACCGGTAAATTCCTACAAATGACCGGTAAATTCATACAAATCGCCCTTTCTGAGTAATTCTGAGTAATGCGCGGAAATGCACCATACGCTCTTCATTTTGCCTTACAATCGGCTGTGTAGCCCACTTATCTGAGTATTGCGCCAGAATATATTGGACTGTCCATTATATCCTCTCTATATTGTATGAGCCCTTACTATATAACTTGATATGAAATTGTAAACCCTACATATAAACCCTAAACCCCTAAAATCTACTCTGCCTCGTGTACAAAAGCCACGTGCTGCTTGCTTCTAGCATGTCATGCATGCACCATGTGTTGAGCTTGGCATGTCTTGCTGTTGTTGTTGTTGTTGTTGTTGTTGTAGGTTTTTGGCTGCAGGCTTTAAGTAGCTAGGTAGCCCATCATGATGGAGAAAGAAATCACAGCCTTAATGAAGACAGCAAAGCTGTCCTATGAGGAGGCTAAGTTTTGCCTTACCTCCGATTCGCCAAAAAAAGAGCCTCTAGACACCAATTGTGCATAGCTGCATGCACATTCTGAGCTCATCGGCATATTGCCACCTAGGCCGAAGCTGTGGAAAGGTGCTTCGAAGCTGACACCTCCTAGGAGGATCCGAGAAAAGTCAGCCCCTCGATCGGCATCCTCGGGCGGCTCGGGGATCTGTAGATCGTGACGGTGCATGGGTATACGAAGGGCATGTTCATGAGAATTAAAAGAAGAAGAAGCAAAAGCAACCCAAAGAGGAAGAGCATGCAGTGCCAGCAACAAGCAACAAAAAGAGCAAGAAGAAGGAGAAGAAGGAAGCAAAGGAAAGCAAGGCTGCAAAGGTTCCCATGGATGAAATGGACACCCAGGAGTGGGATGCTGAGGATATGGGGCCACACCATTTTGCAAAGAAGTCTCGTCAATTGCAAGACGGCATTGGATGAGCTTGCTGAAAATGTTGCTGCAAGAATATTGCCTGCCGGCATTTGCAAGTGCATCGCAACAGCTGCTGTGCCATGCCATGTTTTGATTTGTGTTGCACATGCTGTCATGCCATGCATTGCAATTAGTACTAGAATTAGAATTAAAACTATAATATTCGTAACACTAGTAGTAGTAGTAGTAGTAGTAGTAGTAGTAGTAGTAGTAGTAGTAGTAGTAGTAGTAGTAGTAGTAGCAGTAGTAGTAGTAGTAGTAGTAGTAGCAGCAAACAAGTCATGCTATACCAAAAGCAAGTCAAGTCATGCCAAGTATTTTAGTAGTAGGACATAGTAGTAGTAGTAGTAGGATTAGGGTTAGGATTAGGGTTAGGGTTAGTGTGGGATAGGGATCAGGATCTTGGGATTGGGATTAGTATCAGTAACTTAAGTAAGCAAGCAAGCCATTCCATGCCGTGCCAAAGCATGCAAGTCGATTCATGCCTAATTTGTCGATCTTACCATAAGAGACGAAGTGAAAACAAACGACGCTGGTAAGTAGTTGAAGTTTAACTCTATATAATAAGGTTTGTTTCACATCATGCATGCCAAGACTATATTCGCAGTCAAGCCATGCCAAAGCAACGCAAGCCATGCCATTCAAGTCAAGCCATGTCAAAAATACATAGTAGTATAGTAGTAATAGTAGTAGTAGTAGTAGTAGTAGTAGTAGTAGTAGTAGTATAGTAGTAGTAGTAGTAGTAGTAGTAGTAGTAGTAGTAGTAGTAGTAGTAGTAGTAGTAGTAGTAGTAGTAGTAGTAGTAGTAGTAGTAAGTAGTAGTAGTAGTAGTAGTAGTAGTAGTAGTAGTAGTAGTAGTAGTAGTAGTAGTAGTAGTAGTAGTAGTAGTAGTAGTAGTAGTAGTAGTAGTAGTAGTAGTAGCCAAGGCATACAAATCAAGTCATGCATGGTATATCTTCTTACCACAAGAGACGAAGTGAAAATAAGCGACGCCGGTAACTAGTTGAAGGCTAACAAACGAGCCAATATGAATTTAAACGACGCTGCACTTGAATGTTTCTTATATTCCTCAATATGATTGATATATTCCTCAATTGTCTCTTAAAAACCGAACCAATATGAATTTAGCTGTCTTTTTGACCACCGGGGTCTTTTTAGAGTGCGTTTCGTCCTCTAGGTGTGGTTTAAGTGTGACGACCACGCTAGTCACTGCTGTGACGGGTGCAAAAAGTGGAGCCGCGGGGAGGACTGGGGCGGCCGCTAAAAGGCAGGCCCTGCCTCGCTACAGGCCCCGGCCTCGCTACCTGCACCCGCTACTTTTGATTTGCACGCGGCTACCTTTGCAGCGCCCTCTGCTGCCGACCGCTAGCCGCAGCAAAAGTCAGGGTCGTGCTCCGCTACGGTTGCCTGTGGCACGCTACAGTCCATGCTACACACATGTCGGCAGCCAGAAAGAAGGGAAGAGCTAGAGTGAGAGTGTCGAGGGTTGCAGGGGGGGGCAACGGGCCGGGAGTCGGTGGGGCTGCTAGGGCTGTCTGCTGCTGCAGCGCCTTCTCAGCGAAAGCTATCGACTGGCACTCCCCACATACACTCTCACGCTAGGAGCTTTTCCCCAATGGGCTAGCAGGAAGTTTTTCCATTTTACACATTTTCCCTGCCCACCGTGCCTGCTACCATGGCAGAGGCTCTGGCAAAGAAGCTAGCCCTCGGAAGCAGTGAGCTTCGCTTCCTGCTAGTGCAGCACAAAGTCTCGGATGCTATCCAATCCGAGCTATTTTCGAACGGTATCGATACCGTTGCTAAGTTCGCCGCCTCGGCGACTGATGAGGCAGACCTCAAGAAGATGCTAAAGGACAGCTTCGCGATTGAGCCGTCCACCTCGCTCGCTAGCCGGGCTCAGGCCGCGGGGGTCACCATCGCATGGAGGACCGCTAATTCCCGCACCGAGCGGCAAGCAGAGGCGGAAGCTACGAGCGAGGTCCGGGATTGGGCGAAGCCCATCCCAGCTACCGACTATATGGCCATGCGCCAAGCCTTTACCGCTAAGTTTGGGGACCTGGAAGACAAGCAGACCCCCGCTAAGGAGTACATCGAGAAGAAGCTAGCCGAGCTCGAATCGGGCGAGTTCCGAGCCGAACCGCTAACCGAGGTCATCAGCCGGGACGAGTGGGACCCGGACACGCTACTGCCCGTCTGGAACGGCAACGGCACGCTATCCATGAAGAAGGGTGGAGCTCGGGCATCCACCCCCTCGGGGCCGGAGCAGCTACGCCTGCGGCTCACGGTCCTCCAGAATACGCTAATCATGATCCAGCTTCGACATCCCAACCGGGAGGAGCTACAGGATGTCACCATGGCTCTCTTCGAGCGCTACAAGGACTATCTCCTTGGAGACTATTGCTATGGTCTCCGGTCCAGTGCCGACTCGGGGTCGCCAGTGCCCCCGTGGCCCTTGGTGCTCAGCTACGAGCACGCTATCCGAAAGCACGCCTACAAGGTCATGGCGACGGCTGGCCTACGCCGAGCGGCACTTCACAACGCCGCTAGCCCTCCATGCTAAGCGGCCTCAGCCCTGGACCTGGACCGAGGAGCGGCCCGCTAAGACCCCCAAGGGGGGCAAAGCTAAGAAGCGATTGGGCGCCGACCGCACCCCCCAAGGGAAGCCCATTTGCTTCCGCTACAACGCTAATAAGGGGTGCAAGAATGGCAGCAAATGCCACTTCGAGCACGTCTGCTCGCTATGCTTCGGCAAGCACCCCGCTACGCAGTGCCCCACCAAGAAGACGGAGGCCGCTAAGGAGGACAAGCCCTCCAACTGACCCGCTACTGCGGCTGCGCCCTCAGTGCCTGTGACCCCCCCGGAGGGGGATGCTACGCCAGCCCCACTGGCTGCTACGCCTGCGAAGCCGGCCGCTACGCCTGCAAAGCCGCTAAGGGTGCTCTACCTCTTCTCTGGTACCTCGCGCCGGCTAGATGTGGCGCAGTGTTTGCACCAGCTAGCAGCGGAGCTCGGGAGAGACGTGCGGGTCGAGTGTGTCGATCTTCTGCGGCACGCTAAATACGACCTGAGTCAGCCCAAGATTCAACAGAGCTACCTGGACCGGATCGCTAACAAGGAGTTTGACGCGGTGGTGCTCTCCCCGCCGTGCGCTAGCTTCTCCAGAGCGCCCTGGGCTAATTTTCAAGGGCCCCGCCCTGTGCGAAGCTACGAGTTTCCCCGAGGTCTGGAAACGCTAACACCTGCAGAGAGGGACCGCGCTATCTTGGGCAACATTTTTGCGGATTTCAGCTTCGAGGTCGCTAACCTCGTGGCAGACGGCGCGGCTACCTTTCTGGCAATGGAGCAGCCAGAAAACCTTGGAGCCCTCGCTATAAGGGCCCGCACCAAGGGACACGGCCGGCCTCGATGTGGCAGTGGCCGCCGCTAGCCGACCTTCTGCAAAAGGGGCTACGGACGGTGGCTTTCCACCAAGCTAGCTTTGGTACGCCCGACGCTAAGCCCACTCGGCTGCTACTCAAGTGCTCTCCTGCTATGCCCGACTTTGTGTGCGAAGGCCTGCCGTGCTATGACAAAAAGGGCCGCTACACAGGACCGCTGCCTTCTGCTGCTACTTTGGGACGCATGTTCAAGCGCACCGCTAAGGGCCCTTTCAAGACCTCAGGTTCCGAAAAGTGGCCCGCTAGAATGTGCCAGTGGCTGGCTACCCTGATTCTGGACTCCTGCCAGCACCCTGCTACCGCTGCCCAGGGGGAGGGGGGTGGCGCTAGGCCGGAGTGCCCGCTACCCGAGACCTTCCCGACCTGTGAGTTGGAGGGTCCGCGGGTGCTAGGGGGTTCAGGACCACCAAGGACCTGCCAACAGCTAGGTGGCAACAAGAGCTACCATGATGGAGGAGGACTCTGCTCTCCAGGACGGTGGCCCCACGCTATCCGCAGCTACGCTAAGGGCCCCAATTTAAACTGGCTGCGGGAGAAGATGATGGAGGTGATCCTCGCTAAGGTGGGGTCGGAGGCGGAGCTTTGGAGAAGGAAGCCTTTCGCATGGCTGCAGGTGGGGCTAAGGGCTGCGCCCAAGCTAGCTCCGAAGAACTTCAGGAGCAGCTACGCTCGATCTGGAAAGAGTGGTGGGAGGCTAACGACCTGGGAGACCCGGAGCTGCTAAAGCAGCCGCAAAACCTCTCATCCGGGCGGCCGGCGACCCCGACCGGGACTTCCTCCTCCAGGCCGAGGAGGGGCTACCTGTGGGCGTGAGAGACCCGCTACCACGCACTCCCCACGTCTTTGAGGAGCAGCTAAAGTGGCCCCTGGAAAACGCTCCTTGGGAGGCGGCGCTAGCCTGGGTGAGTTCGCTAGGGAAAAGTTCGAAGAGGACGTGGCGGAGGGTCTCATGGCCACACCGAGCCATCGCCGCGCTAGCCGTCATCGTTGAGGACGAGGTTAGTGGAAAGTGACAGTGAGCATGTACGGATATGAGTGTGTGGCCGATGAGCTACAGAATGAGGCAATAACAGGTCTGTGATTCGCTTGTCGGGCGATGCTGCAGCCATGAAGGCTGGAAGGCTGAGGAGGTTGGGGTTCCAGGGTAGGTTCTCCAGTTTCTCAGGTAGCCTTGTGTACAATCTTTCACTTGAGACTTGTAGATGTTGCGATTCTGATTACTTTGTGGAGCAGAGTACCTTGTACAGATCAGGTAGCATCTACGCTGATTCTGGTTTCGTTTGGTTGCCGTGTGGGAAAACAAAGGGGCGTAAGTCCGCCGTTGCTCTGACCTGCTCCGTCTAACGGGCAGGTTATGAGCCCAAGAGCGGCTCCCTGCGCAGTAGTACTTCGCCATGGATTCGGCTGGATCTGGAATGGAGCCCAGCTACGGGGATCGCGAAAGGCAGTCTGGGTATGATCAGGGTGGACGTACCGTGGGTTTCTCAGCTGCTAATGATCCTTTTATCAGTGATCGCTGGACCAATGACGAGATGTCAGATGGCCATGGCGGTCAAGACAGGGGTGATAGGACCCCGGAGCAGCAGGCGGAAGACTTGTTGCGTCAGGCCGAGAATCTCGAGCCGGATTACGACTTTGAGTCAGCGGAGGGCGGCAATGGCTCTCCTTTGCAGGAGGGCCAGAGTCGGTCTTTGGAGCATGTTAGAGCTACGGGTGTTTCTACATACTGGCGAGCAGCATACTGGTGGTCTAGATGGTGGTCAGATGACTGCTCCGGGCTGTACCGGGAGAGATGCTGTGGATCCGGGCTGGACCGGGAGCGAACATTTACCTACAGGTCATATTTCTGCCGCTGGAAGTGGGGTGGATCCGGGCTGGACCGGGAACGGACGTGGGCTTAGTCAGTCTACAGTTGGACGTGACGATACACCGGGCTGGACCGGGAGTGGACGTGGATCTCATGGTCAGTTTACTTTCGAGCAGTCGCGCGGACCGGGCTGGACCGGAGTCAGAGCTTCTGGACGTGGATCGTTTGCTGATGCTGGACAGGCGTTTCGGGCTGGACCGAATGGATATCACAGAGAAGCGGGTGAGCGACTCTTTGATGACAGGTCTGGAGCTTGGAATGGTCTTGGAGATCAGTTGGACCACGCGCTGGACAATCGAAGTGACGGTGGTCGAGGAATGTTGTCTGGAGATTCTGCTAGAGTCGAGGCTCTTGAGGCGCTTGTAGCCCAGCTGCTTCAACGTGGAGCGGTGAGTTCAACAGATGAGCGTACTCGTGAAAGGGTAGGACATGTACAGCAGCTGGATGCATTTAGAACCACCCCCAAAGAGGGAAGGGGCATGTGGGATACTGGAGAACCTAGAGATCTTAAGCCTAGACTTGGTAAGGGTGTTGGAGTTCAGGATACTAGGGTTCCTCAGGTCTTTCAACCACCATGGACCAGCTTTCAGCAGGCACCAGATGCAGTTGCTTCAGTGGAGACTGGAACCTTGGGTCCAGGAGATGCAATTCTTGAGGCGACCAGGGCCATGCAGAGTGTTACATTGCAGGAGTGTCCTCCATTGCAGCCTTTTGGAACTGTAGGTGGTGAGCCGGCGGCTCCAGGGACTTCAGTCCATGTGTCGGGTAGCAAGTCTGCTTGTGTTGCTGAAGCTCCGGGTTTGGATCCGCCAACGGCAAAGGGAGTTCGAAGTGATGAGTTGGGCAATAGGAATACTGGTGAGGTGACGGTTGTGGTTAATGGGGTGCCTAGGTTGGGAAGGTTCAACGAGCGAGGTGAGGTTGTTCTTATCCCGGAAGTTCCTAAGGTTTTTGCCATGGATGATGGGTGTGATGATGTGCAGAGGCCACCCTCGGTGAACGCAGGGTATCAGGATGAGCAGTCAAGACGTGGCACTACTGAAGGCCGGTCAAATCCGTTCAGGCCCAACGCACTCTCGCCTTTTCGTGTACCTACTCAGGCGCCAGCTCCTGATGTCACCAATGCAATTCCTCCACCACCTCCTCCACGTTACGCTAGGGTTCCTAGAGCATCTAGTAGGTCCCCTAATGGAACCAGATATGGAAACCCCAGACGGCCAAGTAGGTCCCCTAATCCAAGTCCTCCCAGGTCCTTTCCAGTTGTGAATGCGTCACCAGCAACTCCAGGTGGCACCAGGGTCCCCAGTGGTCCTCCACCGAGGACTCCACCAGCGGCAGTTGGCATTCCGCCACCCACAGGAGTCGGCAACAGTAGCAGTCTTGGGGGTGCTACCGCGGCGATTCAGGGTGGTACTCAGTCTTCTGATAAGGAGTATGTCCCAGGGGAACGTACGTATTGGGAGTTACCAGTGTTAGCAAGCCCGAGTAGTGAACAGAATCCTGCTATGAGGTGTAACGATTGGATCTACAAGATAGGCCCACTGATGAGCGATCTTGCCCCAAAGGCGAATGCTTGGTGGCAGATTGTGCTACAGGAAGCTCAGGAAACATACCGGCGTTGGTCTGTTGCTAAGCCACTGGATCGTGCAAGGGTCGTCGGCAGGCCAAGTGAGTTTCTTCAAGAGGATCGGTTCACTCGTATCGAATCACGGGCGGTTGCAATGCTTACAAAAGCGCTCCCTAGCGTGGTATATGAACAAGCCTTGGCCAGTCGCAATGTGTCGACGGTGGGGTTATTGTTCCTCACTCTCAGGATTTATCAACCAGGTGGACTGAATGAAAGGGCCGAGTTGCTGCGCGGATTGACTTCGTTGCAAGTGTTTGATTCAGCAGCTTCAGCTGTCAGTGGACTTCAGAAGTGGTTCAGACACCTTGAAAGAGCTAATTCTATAAGGATATCGATTCCTGATAGCTCTCTTCTGCTGCAAGGAGTTGATAAGGGAGTGGAATCATTGCTTCAGTTGCATGCTTCTTTGTCCTTCAGAATGCACAGTGTTCGGATGCATCTGCAGTTGGACTCGGTGCCAACACATGAGCGAGTGGAAGAGTACGTGAACACTCTGTTGGCCGAGTTCGAGCTCTTAGCTGTTGCTGTGCCGGAGAGTCAGGCCAAGAGACAGAGAGTAGCAGCGCTTGGGGAAGACCTACCTAAGGGAAAGGGTAATGGGAAACCTTCAGGCGGCAATGGCAAGGGCAATGAGTCAGCTGGAGCATCGGCACCGAGTGCAGCACCCAATAAAGGTAATGTTCCTCCTAAGAAGGCCTGTAATGCTTGGCTTACAGACAGAGGCTGCAAGTTTGGCAAAACCTGCACCTTCTCTCACGCAGCTGAACGTGCCGGTAAATGTTGGGCCTGCGGAGGGAGTCACCAGAAGGCTGATTGCGTAGCGCCGGGGGGGGGAAAACACCAGAAACCATCAAATGCAGAGGCTCAGACTAAAGGAAAGGGTAAAAATGCATCTTCGGAGAGTTCGGGTGGTGCGGCTAAGGGCAAACCAGCAAATGCTAAGAGCTCTAGTGGTGCAGCAGCCGGGTTGTCCCAGGAGGCAATAAAGGAGGCGACTCAATTGTTGCAGAGTCTCCGTCTTGCATCGTTGAGGCCACATGTGAAGAGCATGTCTGAGCTCTTATGCAAAGCCCAGCGTGGAGAGCCAAGAGGCTTGATCGATGGAGGCGCGACGGCTTGCCTCAGAGTTGCGCTGGATCACGAGGTTGGGCTTCCTCAGGTGGTGGTGAAGTTAGCCTGTGGGGAGACTTCGTTGTATGTCAATCCACAGGGTACCCTCCTAAGCAAGGTTTATGTATCGCCAATCTTGTCAGTCAGAGCGTTATTGTCGTTGGGGTACCGAATAGAATGGGACTCCGCGAAATGCAGGATCTACCATGCAGTGAAAGGCGACCTAGACATTGATGTGAGTAGCGGCTGTCCAGAGGTCACGGAGGCCAAAGCACTTGAACTGATATCCCAGTACGAAGATCTAGTGCGCAGCCGTGAGTTGCGGAGCATCCGGGTTCACTCCATCATGCAGGACCTGTCGTCTAGGACTGATGATGAACTGGCAAGCTTGATCATTCAGGGAGACACCCAGGCAGATGCATCGCTACAGATGCTGCTGACCAGATTGTTTCCGGAGACCAGCAGTGACTTGACAGCGCAGGCGGCGATATCCTTGCAGGACCAGGAAGGTGAGCCGTATGCGTGGAATAGGCGTATGAGACGCAAGTGTGATAAATCGGATGGGGTTCTTGTTCACTTGTTTCGCGGAAGCAATAAGAGGGTGTTTGAGGGCTTAGCTGCATGAGCGCAGCAAGGTGACTGTGCTGCCAGTTGACAAGCCTGAGGATTTGCTTTCAGACAACACATTCAGGTACCTGCTGCAGCAAGCATCTAAGGGTAGAGTGAAGGGAATAGTGGCTTCTCCTCCGTACAGAACTTTTGCATTGTGCAGATATCTGAGTGGGACCGGTGATGATGGACTCCGTCCTTTGAGAGTTCGAGGGGAAAGCATTGGAGAGACCAGGTCCATTGAGCTGGGATGCAAGGAACAGGCGCAAAGGCGCACGGATGATCTTGTGCTGATGCGAACTATGGTTCTGATGATCGTTGCTGCTGCATCCAATAGGGCGCTGAGGATTCATCATCCTTTGTGTGCCGTTGTGCATCCGGAAGATCCCATGGAGGATCCGGTTGAGTGCTGGGATAATCGGGAATTAGAGGATCCGGGTACTGGGTATGCAACCTTGTGGGAGACGCCGGAGTGGAAGTCAGTGGAACGATTCTTGGGGTTGCAGGGAATTTCCTTCAGACAGGGAGTGAAGGGTCAGGGTCTGGTGCGACCGACCAGGATGTGTACCAATATGGCTCCAGACCCTTTGCTAATCAATGGCCGCGAGGGACTTCAGTACTTTAATGGGCTGGAGAGCTCGATGAGATCCGAATGCGGTTCGGAAGTGTCTGGTTACGACTGTTGGGGAGACTGGTCGTGTGCTCTACAGTCTGCCATTTGCAGCATGCTTTGGAGGGAACTCCGGGAGCAAGGCTTATGGGGGAAAGGCCAACTTCGAGCATTGGATCCTGGGTTCATTGAGCACGTACGGCAGGGCCACATGCCTTTTCGTCGCGACTGCAAGCAATGCTTGCAGGGCAGTGCCAGACACAGGCAGCACCGCAAAGTTCTTGCACCTCAGGCATGGACTCTAAGTCTTGATACGGCCGGGCCTTTTCCGGCGGGTGTCGATGAATCGGAGTGCCAGGCGAAATACTTGATTGTAGCAGTGTTGTCAGTTCCAATTCTGTCTACAGAGGGTCATGTGGTGACTGAGCCAGCTGATCGAGATCCTGCTATTACGGTTGAGGCTTTTGCAGAATCCCTTGATGATAAGGAGTGGTTTCTTAGCAAGGGCATGGAGCTGGAGGATCCACCTGAGGAGTTCACGGCTGCAGAACTTAAAGAGGCTAAGGAGGCCTGGAATAGCTGGCAAAAGATTGTTGCTATGAGCCGAAAGGAGTGGATGGAGGAAGCAAAGGTTCATTACCTTCCAAAAGTGGAAATGGTAGATATGGTTTATACTGAGCCGGTCGCGTCGAAAAAACAGCAGATTGTTTTAGGGGCTCTCAGTAGGATCTACGCAAGAGCGATATCAGACGGCTTTAGCGTGCAAAGGGTCCATACGGACCGCGGCAGGGAGTTCAGGAACGCTTCGGTCCAGGCCTTTTGTCAGAAATTCGGGCTGCACCGAACGTTCGCTATTGCGGAGGAACACCAAACCAATGGACGCGCGGAGGGCGCAATTTTGAGGCTGAAGAATAGTACCCGTACCATCCTGCAAACTGCTAGTTGTGAAGATTTGGACGAGTGGCCGTTGGCCGCCAAATTGGCGGCATACCATATGCGTGGTCAGGCGCGGAAGCGCCTCAAGATGCCAACTGAACCGACTCTTCCTTTCAATACAGAAGTACAAATCCTTCAAAGGTCATGGAATCGAGGTGTATGGGAGGCCAAGACCATTGCTGCGCGCACGAAGTGTCCGTCGTCGGACAGCTCAAAAGGCTGGGTCGTAAGGACCACTGATGGATCTCTGCTTACCACCAGTAAGGTTTTCCCTGCTGTTAGTGCTCCCAGGGTTAAATTCAGTGTTGAGGGTCCCCCAGTAGATGCAGATGCGCCGCCAGCGAGATTGAGGGAGAAAACCAAAGTCAGAAGAGTGGAACCTATGGGTGATGTTGTTGATCCTAAGCATCCTGCGGATTGTCTTGCGAAGCAGCTGCTTGATGATGACAGCTGGGAGCCAAAGGACTTGGCAAGATTGGCACTGTGTATGGCCAAGACAATGTCCTCAAGCGAGCGTGCTATTCGCAAGGATAATGATCAGGTTGTAGGACAAAGTCGTCCAACATGCAACTTCTTGAGTGGAGCATTCACCTTCAGTGGGATGTCAGGGGTGAGGTGTGACACTAGGTCACTAGGGATCATTGGCATGTCACTAGGTATCTGACTGGGTACTTGGCTAGGCACACGGATGAACCTTTTGCCGGCATAGGACTATCTCTTAATTCGGTTCACGATCTGCATAGGGATGTGCATAATCAGCGGTCAGTTCCAAATGTGGTTCTGCCTGTAGTTGCCTCTGGGGGAGGCTTATGGATTCAGGACAGACCCGATGCCAGTCTTGAAGGAGCGGACGCAGTCACTGATGATACACGTTGCCTTGCAAATGGGACGACCTTGAGAGGCAAGGTAGTGAACTACAAGTCACATCAGGCTTTCACGTTCAATCCTCATGTTTGGCACGAGTCGGTTGCGGCTGAAGGTCCGCAACTTCTTCTGTTCGGGTACACCGCCCGAGGGCTGCATAAATTGGGGCAGTCTGACCGTAAGCTGTTGTGGGATGCTGGGTTCACGTACATGCCGGGAACCAAGAACGAGTACTGGGGGTATCAAACATCCTCTGGCAATCTGGTTCGGTATCATCCGCTTCCACGGCGTCAGCTGTTTGCGCCTACAGATCAAGATGCATTGCCTTTTCCTCGCGATCAAATTGGAGATCTCAGGATGTGTGTTCAGCAGTTTCCGGGACGTCTTCCTGTGAGGACCTTTCATCGCTGGCGCGATGGTAGAGGCAAGGCTGCGGCTTCAGCATGGACGGGTTGTTCAGTGTTTCGCCTTCGGGTGCTGCGGAGCACCCATCCTCAGGATGGGGGGGGGGATCCGCACCCTCCGAAAAATTCGCAACAGCCGGTGATTCTTGAAAAGCATGAGGTTGAAGGTATTGTTGAGGTTCCGCATGGCCAGGAAAGACTTTCGTTGCTGCAAGGACCCGAACTTGAGCGAAGGAACGCTTTGAGTGGGAGAGGGCATGGAGGTGGCCAGGAAGTCAACGGTGTGTTGGGACATTCAGCTGTGATTCCACCAGCTAGGGCTAGAGCGAGGAGTAGGATTCGGGATGCTAGGGAAGTCACTGTAGAATCCGGTTCAGCTACTGCAGAAGGTAAGGCGAGAGGTCGGTGTGTTGAAGCAGGTGTGCAAAGGAATGACAGGACAGCGGTTTCGCCAGCGCCGGTTGTGGGTTGGGGTGTCCGGTTTGCTAGTCGCTATAGCTTGAAGAGCTTGCAACCTGTTCCCAAGCCGAGTGGGACACGGTCGTGGGATCTCTCAGGGAGTGCGATCAACAGTGGTTCTAGGTCTGTTAGTGAAGGCTCTGTGAGAACTTCCGCAGGCCTGGATTGCCCCAGAATCCGATGTGATAGTCTTGTAGGTGGGGTTCAGGATAAGGGTCTGGAGTACTGTGTTCGGCCTAAGTATAAGGTCACGGTCTGTGAAGAGTTTCCAGCTCGGTGTCCCAGGAATGTGATGCATGAGTGCCTTGCAGTTGAAATCCAGAAGTTGTGCAAACGCCTGCAGACGGAGGTTTCTGATGTGGAGAGCAGCTGTGAAAGTGAGGCTGATCCATTCCCGTACGAAGTTCCGGAGGTGTTGCAACGTCTTAGCTTGTGTCCATCTTCTGTGCAAAATCAGAGTGTTGCCTACAGCTTAGATCGTGTCAGTTGGCCAATAGACGGGGGAATTGAGGAGGCTGCTGAGTCCCTTGCACATGCGCATTATGTCAGAAGTCGGATGTTGGAGGCTCCTCATGATGACCTTGAGGGTTGGCTAAAAGGGTGCGACGAAGCTATATTCACGGAGGTTCAAGAGTTGGAAAAGGAGCTTCAGATTCTTAAAGGGGTAGAGCAAAAGGCGCTGAGGCGGCTTGAGTGTGCTGAGATCGGAGGTCTTGATATGCCGCGTGTTTGCAGCGCCACAGTGCTGTCGGATAGTGAAGAAGCAGTAACCTCTGAAGGGTGTGAAGATTCTCCACCGCTGCAGACCAAGATCGTGTCGCAACAACAGGTGCGGCAGGAGCTGGAAAAATGGCGAGGCTCGATGGGAGAGGAAGTTGAGTCCCTGGTTCAGAAGACGGAAGCGGTTGAGGATCTCACGGAGGCTCAGTACAACGAGTTGGTGAGTGACAGCTCAGTGCATGTAGAGTTGATCCCTGGTAAGATGGTGTATGTTTGGAAGCCCAGCGGACGACGCAGAGCGAGGATGGTTGGCTGTGGGAATTTCTGTGAACATGACAGTGGCGCTCCCAAAGCGGACCTCTTCGCCAGTGGAGCTGGTGCAGAGTCCATTCGTATGATGATCCGCAAATGTGCTATGGAACCATCTTGGCATCTGGTCTCGGTTGATGTGAAAACGGCCTTTTTGCAGGCGCCACTTATGGAAATGCGGAAGGGTGGCAAGGAGAAGGTCACGGTTGTTAAGGTTCCAAACATATTGAGGGAGGCAGGGGTAACTGCAGCGAAGTACTGGAAAGTCAAGAAGGCCCTTTACGGCCTGAACTCGGCACCGCGCTCGTGGAGTACCCATAGAGATCGTGTGATGGCTGATCTTCAGATTGAGTATGGTGATAGCGTCCTGAGGCTTCAAAAGCTGAAGGAGGACGCCAATCTCTGGCGTATCCTCAAATGTCCGCGTGAAGGCAGTGATCCTGAAACCGGAACTGGTGAAGCAGGGTTTCTGCAGGGTCAGTACATTGGGATTATAGCTTTGTACGTCGACGATATCTTAGTCGCGTCGGAAAAGGATGTAGCCCAAGCTGTCGTTCGAGGACTGGAGTCTCATTGGGAATTGTCAGCCCCGGACTGGTTGTCGGTGGAAGGCAACTGCCTGAAGTTTGCGGGCTTCGAGCTGGAGAAAACAAGTCAGGGAATCCGTCTCCACCAGGAAAGTTACACCAAGGACCTCCTTGATCAATGTCGTGATACTGTACAGGGGGTAGAGCGAGTGCCAGCAGTCAAGATGAGTGAATGTGAGGACCCGGCTGATCGGGATGAGCAGCTGAAACTTACAAAGAGAGCTCAGTCCCTCGTGGGGCAGCTGCTGTGGCTTTCGGGTCGGACACGCCCAGATATAAGTTATGCGGTGAGTGTTGCTGCGCAAAAGATTGTGCCATCCCCTCGGGAAGCAGTGGAAAGGGCAGAGCATGTGATCAAGTACCTCCGGTATGCCCCTGGAACAGGCCTTCACTACAAGATGCCGACGGGCCGGTGCGGCAAGTGGGAACAGCTGAAATTCCGGGAGCTGGGAGAAAGCTTGGATGCTTTTTCAGATGCTTCATTTGCTGCGGATGAAAGAAGTCGCAGTTATGGATGCATTCAACTGTTTTGGGGAGGTGCTCTGATTTTTTGGGCGTGCAGCAGGCAGACTCTTATAGCATCCCACACAGCTGAGAGGCTGAGAGTGAACTGTACTCGTTGAGTGAGGCGCACTTGCTTGGCAAAGCTATGAGACCGACTGTTGCAGCGCTGATGAATCTTCCTGAAAAGGAAATAGATTGCCGACTGCATTGCGACAACTGTGCAGCAATCCAACTCTGTGTGTTGGAATCAGGGTCGTGGCGCACACGTCACTTACGTCTGAGAGCTGCAGTGGTTCGTCAGGACTTAGAAGAGGGTCGTTGGCAACTGACGCATCTTGACGGAGTCTACATGCCAGCGGATCTTGGAACGAAACCCGTAGGTCCGTCTAGGCTAGAAGACCTTGTCAGGGTATGTGATTTATGGGCTCCTCATCTAGCTGAATCCCAAGAGCCTCCTAGGCCTCAAGTGGCGTCCATGAGCTGTGAACAGACCAGTGTTGCGAAGGCCCTTCTTGCACTGTTGCTTCTTATTCAAGTGTCGGGAGCGCGAGCTGCGTCCTCAGGTCAGTTGACCGAGCCCCAGACATTCGTGCAGAGCTTCGTTGTAGGCTTCGGGATTGGATGCGGTTGGTGGTTAGCTGGAAAGATTGGGAACTGGATTGATAGGTGCTGTCGTAGGAGGCCCGTAGTCATGTCGATGTCACCTCGTAGGCCACCGGTTCCCAGGGTGTCGTCTGTAGAAGTTCAAACGACGGGGATCGAGCCGGAGCCCAGTTTCGTTGCGGGGGAGCAGGTACATGATCCGATGCCAGTGCAGTCGGAAGGAAATGTTCCCGCGATATCTGCTGAGGAGCAGGAACGGCTGCTGGACTTGTACGATCGTCTGTATGAGGAACAGGTTGCCGAAAATCGCCGTTTTGATGGCCCAGGTGGTTCTAGTAGGGTTGAGTGGAGGCCGCTGCCGGGTGCTTTAGATAGGGATGGTTCTCCTGAAGTGCTGTTTCGGGAGCCAGACTTCCATGTGGATGCATCGGGTGCCTATTTTCATGCGCGTGGCAGTGAAGATGTGAGGTACGTGCAGCCTCCAGAAGACATGGTGGCACAGGCTCGAGCTCCTACAGTCCCTATGCCTCCAGGATATGGATACCCTATAGTTCTCCTTCAACCTGATCCCGAGCCTCAACAACAGCATAATGTTCATCGTGTTGTGTATGCCGACGACGAGGTTGAATTAAACGATGAGGAGGAAGAGTCGTCGCTTGGAGAGTGGACGACAGATTCCGGTATGCCTAGGGGTGGTAGTTCTGATAGTGGGGAGTCAGGCCGCAGTAGGTTTGGTGGCTCTAATAGGTCCCTAGGAAGTGGTCGCAGTATTGCAGCGGTCAGTTTGGTTGCATCAGTGAGCTCAGCAGCTGGTCACCGTGTTGAAGAGACTGGAGATGGATCGTGGGAGTTTGGGATCGTTTTAGGGGCAGTTGCACTTCTGTTTGGGCTTCTTGGAGCAGGAGTTGCTTGTGTTGTGATTCGGTGTTCAAGTGGTGAGCGTCTTTCAAACACAACTTCTTTAAAGTCCGATGGAGCTGGTGAGGAGACTACTAAGGTCCCTTCAACCCCAAGCAAGAAGCCAGGTCTCGACGGAAACCAGAGTTCCCCTGTGGTGAATATAACCATAAATCATGAAGGTCTTAGAGTGCAGTCACTGCGTGATGTGGAGTTGCCGGTGACGAAAGGTGCGAGCTCAGAGGCTGATAGAGGAAAAGCTGCAGACTGTGGCCTTGGGCCGCAGGTCGACGACGACAGCCAACACCCAGTAGACCTCCCTAGTGGTTTAGTTCCAGAGACCCTAGGTGGACGACGACGGCCGGAACCCAGTAGTTCCCCTAGCGGTTTAGTCCCTGAGGTTACCCTAGGTGGACGACGACAGCCGGAACCCAGTAGTTCCCCTAGCGGTTTAGTCCCAGAGGTTACCCTAGGCGGACGACGACAGCAAGAACCCGGTAGTTCCCCTAGCGGTTTAGTCCCAGAGGTTGCCCTGGGTGAGCGACGACTGCAAGAACCCAGTAGTCACCCTAGTGGTTTAGTCCCCGGGGGTTCAGTGCGAAGAAGGACTAGTGTGGTCAACGAGGAGGATCGAGCTTCGACGGGAGGGGCCGAGAAAACCAATGAAGTTCGGTACGATGGCGGGCCTTCAGCTGGAAGCGGTAGGCCTGCAGGAGTGCCGTTGGATCGGTTCCCTAGACCCAGGGGTTTGAAACAGGCAGTGTTGTTGAGTTCGCGCGGGGATGACATTCGTCCTTTTGTGTTCTTGACTCAGAATGGAGAGTGTATTCATAGTGAAACGACGTGCAGAGGGATGCGATTCGCGAGCACACCAGTGCAGCGGAGCATATGTGGGTTTTGTATGAGGGCAGGACAGCTGCCTCAACGGAGCGGTGCTGACGGCAAAGATCTTGTATTGTGCTTTACGAGATCCGGGCATTATGTGCACTCCACAGTGCGTTGCGGATGCCTGGACGAAAGTGAAGAAGTGCAGTATCGTAAGCTGTGTCGTTGCTGTCGATGGGGGTGACTCCCAGGTTATGTGCTCCAGGATGCGTCACTGCGTTGGGAATGAACGTAAGCTTCATCCCGGGGGAGTGACAGTGAGCATGTACGGATATGAGTGTGTGGCCGATGAGCTACAGAATGAGGCAATAACAGGTCTGTGATTCGCTTGTCGGGCGATGCTGCAGCCATGAAGGCTGGAAGGCTGAGGAGGTTGGGGTTCCAGGGTAGGTTCTCCAGTTTCTCAGGTAGCCTTGTGTACAATCTTTCACTTGAGACTTGTAGATGTTGCGATTCTGATTACTTTGTGGAGCAGAGTACATTGTACAGATCAGGTAGCATCTACGCTGATTCTGGTTTCGTTTGGTTGCCGTGTGGGAAAACAAAGGGGCGTAAGTCCGCCGTTGCTCTGACCTGCTCCGTCTAACGGGCAGAAAGAACAGCTACTCCGGGAACACATTGACGCTAATGAGGTGGCCTTCTCCGTGGTGGGCGACATCGCTAAAGCCCACCGGCGCTACAAGCATGCCGAGGGAGAGCATGGCTACCTGGGGTGTCAGATCGACACCGAGGAAGCTATACCGGGGGACCCCGACAGCCAGACGGTCTACGTGAATCTGGTGGGGACCTTCGGGCTATCATGTGCGAGCTATTGGTGGACCCGTATAGCGGCGTGTGGGCTTCGGCTCACGTACCACCTGCTAGGGCCATCGTTCCCGCTAGACATGCAACTCGATGCCGACGACCTCGAGTCCTTGGGCCGAGGGGCTAGAGGACGCATGGGGATCCCGCTAAGCTACCTCTTCCTCGCTAGTCTCGGGTACCCCTTCAAGTGGGCCAAGACGAGGGGGGGGTTTCGGGAGGAGTGGCTAGGCATGGAAACGGAGTACTCCACGTGGAGGCTAGGCCTGTCCCAGAAGAGGACCGACTGGCTAGTGGAATGGCTTCGGAAGCTAGTACGTGAAGGGAAGTGTGAGGCCCGACCCTTCGCACAAGGGCTAGGACGCCTGGGCTTCGCATCCATGGCACTAGACTGGGAACGCCCCTTTCTGGGTCCGCTACACGCCTGGTCCTCCGCTATCCAGGGGAAGCTGGGACTCCTCACGCTACCCACCATGATCCGCGTCCTCTGTGGTTGGCTAGCAGACCGCTTGGAAGCTGGAGGCCGGCTCCAGAAGCCGGCTTCGCTATTGGACGGAGCAGCGCCGCTTTCTTTCTACACCGACGCTAAGGCCGAGAACGGACGTGCCTGGATCGGGGGCTTCCTTGAGCTAGTGGACGGCTGTCACGGACCTTGGTTCTCGCTAGAGGTGAAGGAGGACTGGGCCCCCTGGGCCTTCGCTAAAGGGGACCCGAACAAGGTCATTGCCGCACTGGAGCTACTGGCTACTGAGGTACTCGATTTTGCTATGGGGCGTTATTAGATATTAGAGGGACTTATAGACAGTTAGAAGAACTTAACAGAAGTTAACTGAAGATAGTTTTTAAAGACTTATAAGCAGTTAGTAACTCCTAATAGCTGTTAACTTAAGTTCCCCTAAGTACCCCTAAGTTCTGGTATGTTTTTTGGGTTTGTTTGAGTACAACATCTTGAAACTTCTTTTGTTGCTTGATCTTCTGTTTGTTACACTGTTGCTGCTGCTTTGCTTCAACTTCGAAGCGCCTCGCGACGCTACATTGGTTCATAGTTCTGCGGCAGCGTCTCTCGACGCTATTGGTTAGTGTATGTTTCGGCGCTTACCTTTTTCACCAGAGCGTGAGCAAGGAATTGTTGTGCGTCCGCCAGGCTTTGGGACGGTGCCAGCTTCTGTCCGTGAGCGACCACGTATGCACGGTGTTAGTGTTTGACCACTCCACGATTCCCACTCTGCAGATTTCCGGAAGACCTGCACTTCGACTGCTGCACTTGCCCTTTCACTCACCATAGAAACGATGAGACCTGCGCAGTCTGCACGAACGATCGGCTCGGCTATTCGCAAAGTTAGCCAGGCGCAGGTCAGGGTGGTCTGTGTCTTGTTCAAAGTGAACTCCCAATAATCAGGGCGCAAGAGGTGTGCCTCATGTAGATGGAGTTGAGCAAGGCGAACGAGCACGAAAGTCTCAAAATCTTGCAAGCGCGAGGCGCTCATCTCAACGATCTTCTTAATCGCCTTGTGCTTCGACTCGTTGCAAAGTGTGTCCAGCACATAGCCATCGCGGCGGTGCTGACCTGCAGGGCGAGATTTGGGGTTTATGGTTCAGGGTTTAGGATGGTTTAAGGCATGTTTCTCCACAAAGAATCTTCAACAAAACCATGGCCTGGCAAGTGGCTGCCATAGTGATGCTTGGGCTTGCATTTGTCAGCGGAGTAGCAAGCTAGGAACTGTCGATGGTGCTCTTCCTGCTTGCGAGTCAAGTCGTTCGCCCAGTCGTCGCTCCCACTGTACCGTAGCATCTGCAGGCAAAATAAGCGCTCACGCCGACTTGCGCTTCAGGGAGTTCTCGGGCAACTGCTGCTTGCACTTGCTGCACGGCAGCAGGACCAGCGCAGGCCCCGTGGCCGGCGTTGCAGGCTCCGCCATGCTCACAGCAAGGC